TGTCATCCAAGCTAAGGAAGGATTTCTTGGGTGTTAAGGTAACATTGAAGGCAGGGAGCACTAAAAAAGAAACATTACAATGAATGTGACATTCAGAAAACACAGGGAAAGATATTGTTAATTTGATTAGCATAATAATCCCACCTACCATATTTCTTCACCTGAAACTGAGAGGTGAACGTGTTCTCCTCCCAGTGGTCAAACCTTGCTGTAACAATCCATGTTCCTTCACTATAAGACATAAATGTCGCTCAACACCCAACGCACTGTTCATCCCAACAATGTAAAGGTCAAATAAAATGTCTTTGTTTTTGTTCTTCTCTTTCCTAACTGAGATTCTAATATTCTGCCATGTTGTTTGTCTCGCTGACTCACTGCACATATTAAGCAACATACCCAGTCAGCATTTGTAAGATACTCTGGTGCAGGTGGTGGCCTAAAGTAAACATGTGCATGAGATAAAAATCATACTGGAATGATGACTTCCTAAAAATTTGATAAGACGACTTAGAAGCCAAGAATCTATCAAACATCTGTGTTAAACTTTCACACAGCTTGTAATATAACGTAATAGTTACCAAATGAGTCGATACTTACTTGACGTATTCAGAGAGTGGAAATGTTTCCGAAAAGATCCCATCAACAGCCCTGGTCCTGGAGACCTGTTTAACCACCACACCATCTGGATTCTATAACACAGAAACTACGTCAGCATTTGAGCTGATACATTCAGTACATGAAAGGGTTATCACCAAAATACTGCCAGAATCCAGTTTCTACAAAAGCTACCAAGCTATGTAGCTACAGGACAGTCCCTCTTGTACTGTCACATGGATGGTTTTAGGTCTTAATAACATCGTTTGGCACAACCATTTTACATTTCAGCATTCACAAAAAGATTTTATATTTGCAATCAATGGTTTGTTCACCTCAATATCTATTGCGATGGAGTTGTTAATGGCCCTAAAGGTTGGAGAAGACACAAAGGCTCGAAGTCGAACTGGAGACGAGAGGAAAAGAAAGTGGACATTTCTTTTAAATCAGTCAAACAAAATTATTATTTATGATCTTTGCTACTGGAAACGCTTTAGCAACCACTATCACTATCATCTCAAAATGTACACTTATGTACAAAACATACACTTATTCTGCTTTTTTATACTAAGTTAATATACTGTGTTGTGTTGTTTGTGTTGCGTTGTGATGGGTCATATCGTGTCGTGTTGTGTTATATGTAGTGCCGACGTAGGACAGTTTTCCAATTTCATTGTACTACTGTACTATGCATGACTGTGCAATGACAATAAAGAGTTATCTTTTCTTATCTTATCTTATCTTATCTTAAAATAGTCCTTAACAAATATGCTTTTTGAGATACAACCTGAAAACTATCTCGTCTAGTCATGT